TCTGTGTGGATTAATTGCAAAGGAAACTCAGCTCGTTTCTTTTCCAAATGGTTTTCTTGTTGTTATTCCCGCTAGGCAATGCTCACAAACAAGTAAATCAACTTTTTCAATATTACCCATTAAGCCCTCTTTGGCTAATCTATTCATTCGCTATTGGCCATTATGACCAAGTCTAGCATGCCATACATTCACATCATTATCATAAGATTCAGAAGATGCAAATAGGGAATAACAAACATTCACATTACTGTATTTAATCTAATATAATAAAACCATCTAGGAAATGTCCTGAATCATAATAACTCGTACTTAAAAATAAGTCAACACCACTGTTATGGAAATTCAAGCGAAAACCAAGTTTAACTAACACCAACACAGAAATAAGATTCCAACGAATTTCTAGAGCATACAACACGTCATACAGGAACAAGGTGCGACCACCCCGCATCTTCAATTGGCAGGTGCCAATGCCTTTGACTTCTGCTCTATAGTTGTTCCCCACATAAATCCATCTCGCTCCATGTGGAATTTGTCGGAACTCCATAAAAACTTCTCTGTCTTTTGCTACATGGTCTGTGGCTCTCGAGTCTACAGTCCACAAAGGATTAGATTTAGTTAGAAGTACTGAATTAGACACATAAGTAATACTTTCATGAATGCTAAGGGTTTTTACCTTCTTTGGCTCGCCACAGTCGCGAGCAAAGTGATCCTTCTTGCCACAGTTATAACATTTCACCCTTGAAATGTTCTTCCATTTTAAGGAACGCTTTCCTTTCTCCTATTGGTTGATTCTTGGTTTCTTTCCTGAAGTACCTACTCTCTTGCTCTTTCACCTCTTGAACCCTCCTAGGCGCTTGCGTTTGGAGCCCGAAACTCCATGTGAGCTAGTACTAGCAAAATAGATGTCAGATTCTGATTTAGCCGCTAGAAGGCAGTCCTCTTCCAGCTCAAGGTGGCGCATTGCATCCTAAAAAATCTTTATATTCTCATTGTGGGACAAGTGGACTTTCATATGCTCCCAGCTTTGGGGCAGGGAACGGATAACTGCTTGCACTTGCTGCTCATCGGTCATAACATAGCTAGTATCCTTCAGCTCACTAATTATATTTGACATACGCCTCATATGTTGTTTCATGGTCTGACCATGAAGCTTCTTATATGAGTCAAATCTAATTGTGAGTTGTCTCAGATTAGTCACGGAAGTTTGACCAAACCTAGCTGCCAGTGCTATCCACATATTTTTGGCATTGTCAAAACGCCTAAACTCTCGCATGATGTCATTTTCCATGCTACTAAGCAATATAATGTGAGCAATAGAGTTCTTCTTTTTCCACACAGCAAATGCTTCTTTGTCCCTTCTATGTTGTGCAATATTCCCATCTTCAGGCTCTTCCATAACAAGGTTAAGAGCTTCCAGCGCCGTTTGCTCTTCCAGCATATACTGGATTTTCAAATTCTAGATTTCATAGTTATCTCCGTTTAACTTTTCTCCTTTGTTCAGTTCAGCAACTATATTCTTTAATGTTGAAGCCATGATTTCTGAACATTTCAGACATATACGCATGAATTATTAATGCCACTCATTTATGCATCAATTTTACACAAACTGATTATATTAATGAATAATTTCTCATAGGTTTTAGATTCGAAAGTTCACTATGTTCCCAATCATTATCTAAAATCCTAATTTGAAATTATCATTAATTTCATCATTAAGGTAAAATTACATTATTTAAAGTTACTAAAAACTTTTAGAACTCCCACTTAACCAGATGATACTAATAAGACAATTATTAAAATAGAATAGTACCATAAACTATTCACAACAAAAATATTCCATTAACATTGTGCAAATCTAACTCAAAGATTCATAATCAAATATGTCATAAAATGTGAACACAATATTCATGAATGGGAAGTTATAACTTGAAAAAACAAGTATTTCAAGCAACTGGAAAACAAGCTTAGAGTGAACATATCCATAAACGATAACGAAAGTTAAAATAACAAATGACATCAGATTGTGATCTTCTTCATATGAACCGGGAAGGAATCATAAAATTCCTTAGGAAGTTCTTTCGGACCGTTCCCCAACCAAGAAAAGACCCTTGCAGTTCCCTTGGGTTTGCGCCACGGCGCATTCATTCTGCACCCGTTCATCCCAGGCGTTGACGTCCTTGTTGCCATGACCCCAATATATCTCCTCATGAAGGCTTCCAAAATCTTATCATATCTTAGTGTTTCAGAGTTCCCGTAAACATCAAGCAACACCCTTTTCTCTTGTCTAGGCAGATTGTCATAAAAATGATTAAACTTATCATCTTCTGTCATCACGCCTCTGTGCCAAATGACATCTTGTATCTTTTTGTTGACCGTAATAACATAGGTCATCATATTAATATTAACATTCCAAAAACAACCAGCTAGCTCTCTTCTCTTCCTCGCCAAGTTTGCCCTTTGTTCAGCCGTTCCAGGGATAATAGGGGTTCGATACCTTTGTACCATCGTTCCTGCAACAAATGTAGAAAAATAAAAAGATTACTTTTAATCCATGATACAATGTCGCAAGAAACACATTCTGCATCTGCCCTTCCTTTTTTTTTTTTTCGGGTCAAAGTCAACGGGTTGGGTCGAAATCAATGCGTCGGGTCAAAAGTCCAACCGGACTGACTGGTCCGCGAGCTAGATCAGCTGACGTCAGCGTGACCTGGGGTCGCTGACATTAGCTGACGTCATCATGCAGTTACCAGTAACCGCGGGTGCGTGACCTTCACACGCCCGTAACTACGCACGCGCCAGCAGTCCTGGGCAACGTCCCTGCGCGTGACCCTCACGCACGGACGTCATCCCCGGCATGTGCAAGTCACCTCCGCCGCTCCCGGTGTCGCCTCGAGCTCGGCGACCACTCATTCTCCTTGTCTCGACGAGTACTATCCAACTATGCAATTACATTTCACTTTCACGAAATAAAAATTTCGAAAAGAAGACATGAACAATACGTTCGAACTTGCATACATCCATGACCGCGAACCCTATTCATTCTAAGCATGTACACTACAAATCCGAATACATTCATGGCAGACATAAATTCATGACATGATCAGGAAACAAATAATATGGGCTCTAATACTAATGTCGGAAACATATTCTCAAAAACAATTCATAAAACGCAAAAAACGTGTCCATTATATATGTGAATCACCGATCGAGTGAGGCATATCACATAAAGGAACATAACACTTTGCCATAGATTAAATATCTACCAATTTGCAGCCTGGAGAGAGCATTCCAATTTTGGGAGTTTTTCTGCAGAGCGTCGTTCTCTGAAGTTGTAATATGAAGAAGAAGAGAACTCAATCTGTTCATAATCACGTTCTTAAAAGATAACTTCCATCTTATCTTTTTTTTGAACTCCCACTGAAGATGGGCCCGCATGATGGACCATGGGCCAGGTTAGCCCAACATGGGCGGCCCATATATAATATCTATCACCACTTAATGTGGTAACGTAGAGCACTCTTTTGGAGACTTACCCCAGATGGAATGACTGCAGCAGTGTATAGTGAAAGCTAGCCTAATCCACTTGTTTGTCACCTCCACTTCTTAGAATTAACAACGTTTTCAATAGGATTTTGTTAACGAATGTCTCCAAAACTAGTTAAGTATACTTTTAAGGAATGTCTCAAGGAACTAATTAAGTATACTTTTTCAAGCAATACATTAGCGCTTGTAGCGTTTTCGTAATTAGACACTTGAAGCACTACTCCCAGTCCATTACTTAAAGCCCAAGAAAGGCGATCCGTGATTGTTGGGTGTTTTCGTAACCCTAGAGAATGACACCTCTTATAAACAGATTCATTTCACTAAAAACCCCCCAAGAAATGGAAAAGTGATCGGTTTGGTGCAACCGCCCAATCACATAATCAGCATGATAAGTAATGCCTAGATTTTAAAAACATTAAGGATGGGGATAGGAGGCAAGGTAAACCCGAATTGGATAAATTTTTTTTTAAAGATAATGTAATAGTAATCTTCCAACAATAGAGTGATGGAGTGCCACATCCAGATATTGTCTCGCCGGCCATCATGCGAGGACCAATACCACGACAGTCCATGATCGTCACTTCGGACCACCGTCTGATTGTCATTGCCTCTGACCATCGCCGATCGTCATCGCCAGCCGATCGTATTCTGACGACTTAGGGTGAAAAAGAGAAGTGATACATCACATAGCTATCACCATCGAAGAACTCAAATCCCCTCATGAGTGCGTCAAATCCTTCGAGGTCGTTGTCCCCTGCAAAGGCGTGCTTGCTCTTGTCACTCACTGCCCATTGCCATCCACTGGTGGATCTCCGTCCACCTCCTCTTTGCCCCTCACCCTAGATTGTTAGCTTCGAAGTCAAGCTGCGCTCAAGCTTCGCGTGCGGTGTCCACCACCCCGTCGCCACCTTTCACCTCCACATCGATTGTGGCTGCCTCGTTCGCCAGATCGGTAGCGTCCATTGCCTCCCTCAATTGCTCCGCAAAGCCATTAGCGACCCGAGGCTTGTCTTCGCTAGTGTCCGATTCACCTGTGACGCAATGAAGCTTAGTGAGGACTATGACCTGGAGATAGAGATGGCGATGGATCTGGAGAAGAGTAGACGAAGCAGAGGGAGCCAAAGAGAGCGGGTTTGATAACACTGGTAAGGGAGCTCATGAGATAAGATCCGGATATCTCATTGGAGATTACACTAGACAGAGATTTTCAAATGTTTCTAATTATATCTTGGATTACACTAGACATATGATCTGATTTTTTACTATCCGGAGGATATTCAAAGGTTTCTAATTCCACCTTATTGTATCCCATCTCATTCTGAATTCGGACATCACACGCATCCTAACTTCTTGTTAACTTATCTCTACACATGTTGTCGTTTGGTGCGACCCTCGCATGAAATACCTTTTAACAAATCCTGACCTTACCACGTGTCCGCCTAGGATTGCCCTCTCTTCGCTCTCCGTGCTGTGGAAGAGGAGCCAATCAACAATGAGATTGCAAGTCACTTGCCCCATTTTTATCTCCGCCGTGTCTTTTTATCGGAGCATGTAGTGATGGATGCCACCATCAGCATAGCTTCTCCTTCTTCTCCACCTTCTTCTTCTTACTTCACTCCACCTCGTCTCGCTAGACTCTCTCCTCGCTCGTCGCGCCCTTCCACCTCCTCCTCCGTACGCCTCGTCTCGAACGGCACGCGCCGGTCCCCATCGATCTTCGGGATCTCCGATCTCGATTCCGGGCTCAGATCGCCGCCGTCGAGGCCGCGATACCTCCGAGTACGCGCTCTCTCTGTCGCCGGTTGGTCCCCCGCCGTCCCCCCCCCGCTTCCTTTCTTTCGCCTCCTTGTTCGCGGCTTACGAAATGTCGATGGGTGCTCGTTTTTTTGGCGTTTTTCGATTGTCGCCGAATTGAGGAGACCAATGTCGAGAACGTTTTCTGTTGTGGGTTTTCCTTGAAAAATTCTTGACTGGATCTATGAACGAGAAAAATTGCGTCTTGACTGGGTTCTTGTGAGGAATTTGTCGATTTCGCGCGCGTCCATCACTGTTTTCTGGCTGCGCAGTTGAGGTAATGAAGGTGGATTAGATTAGATATCCATCACGAATTGATTCTTTTGATGACCCATTTTAGTTTAGATACAGGTATGAGTTGGGTGAGGTGAGTTGCAGCTCGAAGATTTGAACTTTTAGCCGCACGAATGTGATGATGTATGAGGAAGCGTTGACCCAAAAGATAAATGAAGTAGCAAAAATTTAGGCCGTCTCTTTTCGGCGTGCTTGTGCAATGGCGGATGCTGACTCTTATGCCGACTGTCTACGGTCTGTTTTGTCTGCTTTGGAGAGTGGAAAAGAAGTTGTTCTTGGTTTATTAATGGTTTTATTTTTGTGGGCAAAGGAGCACGAGGTGAAGAAATGGAGGTTTCATCTACCGGAGCGGTTGGACAGAACGATTTGCTGATTGTTGGACCTGGCGTTCTCGGGCGCTTGGTGGCGGAAAGATGGCGTGAGGTATGGATACAAAATTTTCTCTATCTCTGAAAGTCTTACTGGGAGAAACCAAGAGAAACGATTCCATAGCTTGAAAATACAACCATGTTCTCGTCTAAGCCTCTTGCTTGATACTGTCTTTGTTGCTAACCCTCCTTAATTCATTTACATGTGTCTCTTCAATAAACGTATTGCTTGTCTCTGCTGGATGTTGCCTCTTACACCTGGCTAATGTGTGGCTCATTCTGCTTAGAGTTATTTCAATTTGATTGACAACTTTCTGTTGTTTTGTAACTGTTCTGACATAACATATTTACCCATTGCTTCACAAGATGTCCCCTTCGTGTTGTCCTTTGGGTGGGGGGGGTGTTTGTTATGTTGCTAGTTGAAGCAGAACAAGCTTTTTATATGAGACTGAGGGTATGAATTTTTTTGAGCAGGAGCATCCAGGCTGCCAAATTTATGGGCAGACAGTGACTTCCGATCATCACGATGAATTGGTCAAAATGGGGATTATACCATCCTTGAAAGGATCAAAGACAGCTCAGCGGTTTCCTTATGTGATTTTTTGTGCTCCGCCATCACGAACTTCTGACTACCCTGGTGATGTCAGGTGAGCCTAAAATGAACACCAATCTGTCGCACAATTTTCTAATCACTTTCAGTTGCACTTGGATGAAAATGTGGCTATAAGGTGAAACTTTGGGCGGTGAGGCCTGCATATCACACTTTTGAATGTTTAGGTGCTTGTGCTCTGCATGATAATAAATTTGAACTGTTCATCTAACTTTACTCAGACTGGCTGCCCTGAGCTGGAATGGGGAAGGTTCTTTCTTATTCACATCAAGCTCTGCTCCATATGACTGCAACAACAATGGAAACTGTGATGAGGTGCTAATCTAACAAAATCTTTAGCTTTCACCCAATGTCTATGGTGTTTCATGTTTTTGTCATGGCTAAACTACTGCATTAACTAACAATTTGTAAATACTTACCTTGTTAATGGTTGTTCAAAAATATGCAGCACGCATTGGTATCTGTTGCAATTGATTCACGGTCATTGGGATCTCCACTTAATGCATCTTTGTTGAACTTAGGTTTTTTTTGTCATTTTTACGCTGTTACTTTTGTGCCTGTATCATTTGTACTTTTGCAAAGTTCTCATCTTCCTAACTGTTGGTGGTGTTCTGTTGATCTTGCTTTGCAGGATAGTCCTATTGTCCCTATTGGTAGGAGCCCCAGGACAGACGTTCTCCTGAAAGCAGAAGCAGTGGTGATGGAATTCGGTGGCTGTGTTATTAGATTGGCAGGACTCTACATATCCTTTTAAAGTTCGGTAACTGGTATATCTAGAGGGAGAACACCTAGAGTTTGTTATGGGAAAACTACCACCTCTGCTAACCTTAACATTACTTACAAAGCAGATAGGGGTGCACATTCTTATTGGCTAGAGAAGGGAACTGTTGAAGTTCGTCCAGATCACATCCTCAATCTTATACACTATGAGGTTCATATCCTATTTGTTCATTCTTCTGTCATAGTTTGACCGATTTTGGAATGTGCATTGCCAAAAACTCAAAAGGGTAAAGGATGTGAAGGAAAATGGGAGTCCTGCATTATGTCTGCTCTTGTTTTAGTTCTTTTCTAGGTTCATTCAAGTAAAATTAGCGGTCTACACAATTAAGGGTGCTTGCATGCCAAGGGTGCTTGCATGCCAAAAACTTGATTTTGCTTTTTGCATTGTCTGTCTTGGTTTCCTCCACAGCTTTCAATGCGTGTGCCTGTGTGCACAAATGACCTATCTGGATTCTTGTTACATAGATAGCTTCTTTTCCTTTTGTCATTTTAGGGAAGGATGTAGTGGACTTACATAATGGTCTGAATTTTGACAGGATGCTGCTTCCCTCTCAGTTGCAATTATGGAAAAGAAACTTCGTAACAGGATCTTCTTGGGATGTGACAATCACCCTTTATCCAGGTAGGGAATGAGATTTCTGTGGATAGACAAAACGATATTCTAGTGTTGCTTATATAATGTTATGAGGCGTACAATTCCCAAGGCATTTATTAGATTTCATTTAATCTTACTGAATATGGTTGAGCCGTATGAACATCCAATGTTTTTTAATGCAGGCAGGAAGTGATGGACATTGTTGAGAAAAGTGGCAAATTTAGTAAAAAGTTCCAGAGTTTCACTGGTAATTTCCCTTTTGACATTTAAAATGCATCACCGGTTACTTAGATTAAGTACCGAACATTGTTCAACAGTATGGGATTCACAGAAACCATTCTGCTAAAACAGAACTTCACTCGCTTACCTTGTTGTTTCAGGAACTAATGATCCGCTGGGTAAGAAATTGAACAACTCGAAAACTCGTGCAGAAATAGGATGGGAACCCAAGTACCCTAGCTTCTCACATTTTCTTGGAGTAGCTGAGTAAGTGCTGTGCCATGCGATGATGGGAATTGACTCGCAGACATGGTGGGAGAAAAATGCCTGCTCTTAGACTGAAGGCAATTTTATGACCAGTTTATTTCAATTCGTTATTCCTGTGTCACAGTGATTGAAAATGTGTACATACTGTCAAGAGAATATGTTCAATAAGAAGGTAACGGAGCCCGTGTTCATGTATACAAGTCCTTTTCATTTAAGAGTCAACTTGGGCTTGCTCTGATTATGCGGGACTTTATGCTTACGAGTAGACAAAACAGCTGAAGTTATATCTTGGTTCATGTAGTACAATGTCACTTTGGCCATCTATGAGGTAAGTCAGTTTCTGTTTCCCCAAATCTGGCCATCTTACAGGATTGTCTAGTGTGATGCTGAGTTTGAGAGTGTTCTCTATCGGAAGAATCCATCTCCATATGTTCATCAATTTTGTGGAGGATGTAAGTCAAATTCAAATGCCTTGTGAAAAGTTAACCAATTGATTCTTCAAAGTTAATCGAAGACGTGTCTACTCAATATTCTGCAAGAGAATGGCTCATCCTACAAATCTTGCTTTAAGATGTGAAATTGACCATTAGTTGCTGGAACTTCATGTTGTTCAAGATAAACTAACAGGGTGCTGGAACCTCACGTTGTTCAAGATAAACTAACAGGGTCTGATCCTGCAGTTACAGAATGGTTAGTGCATTTGGGATAGGAATCATGGCAGACCACGATCTAGTGAGCAAAGAAAACGCAGAGGTGATGCTGCTTGAGAACTGCAATGTTCCCCCTTATTTGCTCTTTTGGAAACTTTCATTGGAAAAATTTCAGTAAGTCAGGAAGTTGCAGGGCATTGCCGCCTGAACTAATTTAAAAAGAGCGCCTATGTTTGTAGTTGCTCTGCAGCATGGGCTTTCAAACTCGAAGTAGACAATTCATCATGTAACGGAACATAACCAGCTGCTGCCGGCCCCGGAATCAGCGTGTTTTTGTACCTTCGAGAAAGAAGGCAATCGAGATCGGGTCAGCGAACACAATCGACTTTCTTCTGAAACATGCTTGGGTTAAAATTATAACCTCTGTTCTAATTTTCCCCCTGCTATGTACTACTTCCTGCAACTCTTTTGCCATCTCAGTAAAACAAGGAGTCGAGAGAAGCATTTGGTTGTTCCTCTCACTTTCCTCTCCGTTAGTTAAACTACCTTGGACAAATTGCTAGAAACATGAATTGACAAAGGTAAACCAAACTTTTCCTTCTTGTTCTTTCTTGTCTTCATTCCACATGCCTATTTTGCTACTTGCTGAGAGCATCATCCTAGCTTGTAAATCATTGACCAAGACGTCAAATAAAAATCCTTCCTCTAACAACTCTCCGTGTCCTCTCCGAAGCAATGCGACTTTCAACCACAGATTTACAAATTTTATTATGAGTTGTTGCTGACAGACACAGCTAATTATTAGTTCATCCAATTTGCAGCTTGAAGGTTGAACCATTCTCAATCAGTGGTTGTATCCGAAATAGATATAAAAAACAATGGATTCTTAGTTAAACCCCCCAGAAGAACGAAGGGCATATTTAGTGGAGGCTTGAGGTCTCAAAGAAACTTCTCGATCTCAAGTCAACTTGATTCTGCTGAACCAAGAGCTTGGCATCTTCATTCTTCTTCTCCCTCTCATCCCTTGCTCATACTTCACGCGACTCACGCATAAAAAGCCGATTCATTAGTTCTTCAGAGCCTCCATCGGAGATGGGAAAGTTGTGCTGCTCATCGGAAGAAGAAGAAGAAAGCGGCGGATTCGATTTTACTTGGATTATCATCGGGGTGGTCGTGTACGTGCTGCTCCTGTACATGTCCACGCCGCGCAGACCAAGAGGGGGATATGTCTGCAGGACTCATTACTGTTGACCCGGTCCTGCCAAAGTTTGGCTTCAAACATTTCCATGTAACCTTGCTAGTTACTGTCGCTATTGTGCTTTGAAACTCTTATCTCAATCAACACTGGATTTTGCAGTCCAGTTGCTTTATGAATAATTTAAGTTTCATGGGTCATTTGAATTATGAGTTTTCTGCTCCTTAAGTGTTTGTTTTGTATGAAAGTTATGGTTGATTCCATGTAGCGAGAGATCAGTCCTACATGATTATAATCAGCTGTTATTCGTCCTGCTGCTATGGATCCTCGGTTCCTGGTAATTGTTCTCCGCTTCTTGTCTGGATACTCCTCCAAATTTTTCTTATGTTTGTCCCTGAAGCTTCAAGGATTTCAGCTATGACGATTATGCGAAGATGTCAGTGGATTCAATCTTTGAAAAATCTGATAAAAACGCTAATACCATCCTCACGGGACCTGCTATTGCTTTCGACTGGCTAAATATTTTTGCCTTTCTTTTCGCCTACCAATGGTATCTGGTAAATACGGATCATCAATTTCTGAGAGCGTTTGATTCTTTTTTGTTCCAAACTAAATCCGAGTGTTGATTCTATGTAATATGATTTCCAGATGAATGAACTCGAGGAACCATGAGCTTTTGCATTTAGGTAGGTCACAATATTAATCGAGTCATGAAAACTTGCACTTGTCACAGCTTTAGCTATTGAAAGATTCAATAGCTCGAACTATATCATGTAAAAGAAGACATAAAGTGTCGGGAGGTCATCGAGAAAGCCCGATACTTTCACCTGGGCAGAGCCCGACTCCGAATCTGTCAACATATCCGGTTAGATCCACCTTCATTCAAAAGTATAAGCTAAAGAGCACGTGCCAATTAAGATATATTAATTACTCCACGTTACGCCACATCGTCGACGGGTAACTTCTTTTTCCTAATGTCCTCAGACATACACCTTAACAGAAAGAATAAAGGACCCAAACAAGCAGGTGGAATTGAGAAAATACAGCAGCATTGAAGTTGGAACAGACTGAAAATTGTTAAAAGTGCTGCTCTCATTAGAGCTGTAGCCTCCAATACACCGCATGAGTTTCTCAAACATAACTTGTCTTAAAACTGAAAAGGAACACACACGAGAACTTCAACGACAAAGATGTGGCGGTTTGCTGACAGTTGCGGTGAAGATCTAAGGCGTGGCATTAAGGGTAGATGCAAAATGCACTTAGCTTTAGATGGCAATAGAAGGTCGTGTTTAGTTACACAGGTTTTGAAAGGATGAATGAATTTGTTTCCAAACCTTTCAAAAGAAGGATAAAAAAGGGGCTATGAGAATAATTAGAAAACTTTGAAAAGAACTCCAATTCAATTATTTGGACTAACATAAAGTGTCATGTTTTTCTACAACCCTAGTCGAAGGGAGTTCTCTTTAATCATACCTTTGACTAGTGGGTTACAAGCATGGACATCACATGTACTTTATATTCATTAAGTTTGCATATATGTGATGTTTACAACTTGCGACCCATCAATTGGAGTTATAGTTGGAGAAAGGTTTCATTAATCAGGATTGAAGGAAAAAAATATCGCCCTAATAGAATCGTTCATTCAAAATCGAAATTGTTACTATCATTTGCAATAGAGTTTTACTTTATGGACTTAACGGTTATTTTGTTGATTGGGTATCTACTATATATTTGTGATGAGGCACTTATCGGTGCCGATTGTATATAAATTACAGGTAAGAAATAACTAGCGTGCAAAGTTGCAACTATCGACAAATTCGTAATAGTGTCGTCGAAACTGCTGTATTCATCTGTGAAAACTTCACTGAGCTTCACAAACGATGTTTTTCAGAAAATGAAATTTGTTAACGAGTGCTCGAGGGCACTCTAACTTGACTTCTTGAAATTATCTTCAATAACGGAAGTCGCATTAAGGTTGTTACTTTACAAGGGAAAATTGTTAAAAAAGTCCTAAACCTATTGTACGGCGGCCAATTCAGTCCTAAACCTTTTAATTTTGCCAATTCAGTCCTAAACCTTTCTAATTCTTGCCAATTCAGTCCTTCTTTGGCCGGCCGGCGCCGGGCATCCGGCCAACGTTGACGTGGCAATTTTTTATTTTTTTTTTCAATTTTTTAATCTTTTTTTTTCTTTTTTCTTCCTCTGGCCGATCCGGCGACCGGTGGCCGACCAGAGGGAAGGGCCGGCGAGGTCGACCTCACCGGCCTCGCCTCTGCTGAGGCGAGGCCGACCTTGCCGTCGCCTGGTTCGCGACGGCGAGGTCGAGCCTCGTCGTCGCTTGGGTCGACCTCGCCGTCGCGACCGCGACGGGGTCGCGACGGCGAGGGAGGCCGACCTCGCCGTCGCTGGGTCGCGACGGCGAGGCCGACCCTCGCCGTCGCCTGAGTCGCGACGGCGAGGTCGAGCCTCGCCCGGATATGGCGTGGGTCGACCTCGCCGTCGCGACCCGGCGACGGCAAGGGTCGACCTCGCCGTCGCGACCCAGCGACGGCAAGGGTCGACCTCGCCGTGGGGCGAGGCAGCCAAGCGACGGCGAGGTCGGCCTCGCCATCGCGACCTAGGCGACGGTGAGGTCGGCCTCGCCGTCGTCCGGGTCACGACTTGCCGAGTTGACCCAGCGACGGCAAGGCTCGACCTGCCGTCGCGTCACGACGGCGAGGTTGACCCAGGCGACGGCGAGGTCGGCCTCGCCTCAGCAGCAACGAGGCCGGCGAGGTCGACCTCGCCGGCCCTCCCCTTTGGCCGGGCCGGTCGCCGGTCACCGGACCAACCAAAGGAAGAAAAAAGAAAAAAAAAGAAAAAAAGATTAAAAAATTGAAAAATAATAATAAAAAATTGCCACGTCAGCGTTGGCCGGACGGCGGGCGCCGGCCGGCGGCCACGTCAGCACCGGCCAGCCAAAATTGGCTGGAAGGACTAAATTGGCAAGAATTAGAAAGGTTTAGGACTGAATTGATAAAATTAAAAGGTTTAGGACTGAATTGGCCACCGTACAATAGGTTTAGGACTTTTTTGACAATTTTCCCTACTTTACGACAAAGATGCTTTCATCGCATTCTGATTTCAATCCGTGTCACATGCATATCACGATAAAATATACATATTGGGGAACAAAGCCAACCACATGAAACGACATCAATACCCATAATCATCATGTGGCCCAAATACACACCAATTGGGCAATACACACAAGACATCTCCTAGAACCAGACAGGACGACCCATAAAGCATATACATACAAATTTACACGAACTAAATCAATGCACCAGCCAATACAAGGTCGACCACATTGCACGAAAAATACATCCAAGTTGGCAATTGATAGACAAGAAAAGGACCCCTCTACTTGGGGATCTTCTTGTGGATGGAGAGGACGGAGAGGGCGATGAGGAAGACGAGGACGACGGCGGCGAAGAGCGAGACGGCAGTGGCACTTCCGATGTGCCGGCAGAACTTGTCGTAAACGTTGCAGACTTTTCCCCAGTTCGTGTGGCTGTTGCCCTTTAGGCCAATGTAGGCGACTGTGCCGGCCGTGCCCGTGGCCGACACAACGATGCCGAGCATCACCTGTTTGTGCGCCAAGTGTTTGTGTAAATGTCAAAAAGAAAGGCAGTAAAAAAATGACAGAAAATTGGTGATGTTTGCGAGAAGAGGCAAGGGGAATTAGGAAAGTCAGGGATATAAAAATTTGATTGTAATGGGCATCCATCACATCACCTGATAAATTAATTTTACCAATCTATAATTACATTTTTTTTACTGCTATTAACTATTAATCCGGCATCACAACCAAAATTAGGAAAATTACACCACAAGTTCCAAACCTTGTGCGGCGAGTCCTAAACTTTTAATCAGTTTAATCAAATCTTGAACATTCGCCAAAAAGTACAATAGAATCCTAACATTTCAATTGGTTTGATTAAGTCAAAAAATTAATGTTCAAAAGTGTAATTTAAGGATGCCATGCAAGCAACCCTAGTTATCGTTCATCAAAAGGACTCAATTGAATCTTTTTCCGAAAGATGTTTAGGACTTAATAGAACCAAGTAAAAAATTTTAAGATTTGATTACATTTATACACAATATTCAAGTTGTCCGGTGAACTTTTCCCGTTAGAGATCGTTATCGTTTGCTTTTCTTGAGTAGCGTCAAAGAGAATAAGATGAGGTCGCGGAAATTACGATTGGATTTTCGTCCAACTCTATTGAGCTTTAATTCAATCAAGTTGATGCAAAATGTATAATCATCTGATAGAATACATCTCGGTTGTAGCATGTCTCTAATACAAAACTGAATTCATCATCGACAAGATCAACCATAAAATCAACCTTACAAGTTCAAAACACTAAATTCATTCACATTTTTTAGTGGACTTTATTACGTCATCACTTTATTTTTCTCGATTGATATGATTAAATGTATTTTTTTTTAATCCTGTCCGTCAATTCAGCAAATGAGTAAAATCATGATAAGATGGCTTGGAAAATGAAAGCTCACCACATCGCTGAGCAGGAAGAAGAGCTTGAAGCTTGTTGCGAAGATTGGCGTCAAGATCACAGAAATTGATGCCAGTGCTGTGATGATGCTATAAAGGCAAGCCACTGATAGGGCTACTACAAAGTATCTGCAAATTTTGAGTAAAAAAATAAATACATAAATAAATAAATTAAGTTTTAATTAGACCATCATGGCACATCTTTAAACTTTTAATTGCAATCATTAATTGTTTAATTAATATTGAGTAAAGAAATCCACCAGTGGAGTAAAGGAAAGGTGGTTCCACCCCCTCGGATTATCATAAGATTTGCACCAAGCTTTGCGTTTTAAGTATTTGATTTGATTCCGTGGTCCATACCATTATTATATGCATGAACATTTTGTCCCACATGATTATGTGTAAGACATGCAATCATTGAGCTTGAGATGAGCCAAGGCCAAGAGGAACAAATAATTTACGAAAGTGATCATATTCAAACATTAAAGTAGACATATGATATGTTATTTATTCAATCATTAATTTTATTAGACATATGTTGCATAACTTGTGGTATTACTACTTCTTCATGACAAACTGGCACAAAACATTTCATTTTTCATGGGAAAGATTCGGTCTACTTGGACCAACATTGTTTTTAAAGATAAATTTTATCTAAAAGGAAGCTCGTCAAGTACAAACATTCATAAATGAAAATATGGTATGTCAATTTATAAATTAATTTTATTGGACATCTTTTGCATGATTGATATTACTCATCTCCATGAAAAATTGGCAAAAAGATATCTTTTTTTGTTTGGGAAAAGACTCGTCTACTTGGACAAACATTTATTTATCTAGATTCGAATCATCATGCACGGAGCGAGTTATCTGAATCGTCGAATATGTGGGCCCCGTGATTTACCAAATTTAAAATTGGCAAGATTTTCAACTTTCCTATTATTTAGTAAAAGTATCGGTCTCACCCAGCTGGAGAGAGCACCATTTAGGTGGAAGAATTGATCCTTTGTGCTTAATTTGAGTAATCTTCTATTGAAGGATAAACTAATATAAGCTGGTAGGAAATTTGTACAATTTTCATTTTCTTAGTGATTACAAAAACGGATGATTTCAAGGAACTTGTGTATAGACAGCAACCTAATTTCCTCTTTTATTATAAACTTTTTGTTATTATAAATAACTCAAGAAATGTTTAGGTCAGTCTAGGACACGGTGTCCTGAGCCTCGAGCCAATCTACGATAATTGAATCTCATGAATCCCACTCGAATTCGAATTGGGTTTCGTTTATGAAACAATATAAATGTTAATTTTAACAAGCCCAAGCCAAAGCCCTGTTCAAGAAACCAATTCTCACCTGAGAAACTGCATTTTGTGTGATATAGTTATATAGTAGATGATTTATCTTCATGCTAAACGCCAGTAATCTATTTTTTTTTAATAATTATTTGATGTCGGATAAATATGGAGAGGGGGTGACAGAATTTCAACCCTAATCCTTCCTAGTTAGTGGATTCTTGTCGGGTCGAATCCTTGTTACATGACAATTATTATAAACAATTTACAACTTTTTCCTTGAGTCACACGCCAAATGATATAAATTATAAAGCCAAATTGTCTTGTCTATGTGAGTGTTATGTCATCTTTTTTGGCAAGAGAATTCTCTCCCAAAAGCTTCTCAATACCAAGAAAAATAATGATAAAATCCACCATTTATTTGGAAAAGTTGATGAGCAGAAGATTATTGAAAAACCTTAACAAAAAAAAAACCAAAGTGAAAGGAAAAAAAAGTTATGCTGTGCATGGAATGAATATAATCTTACACGAGAGCTGGTGAGTTGTTGAACTTGGCCTCGACCGGAGCCGGACCCCCCAACCCCGGCACCACCTTTGTTTGGTTGCTCGTGACCATCACCACCACTGCGGTCACCGTCGCCGCGAAGAACAAAACCCTAAGCGCCACATCGACCACGAAGCACTTATCCATCGGTGGCGCCGGCTCTGGGGGTGGAGCCGGGGCTTCCGGGGGCGCCTCCTCCTCTTTCGGGGGCTCGCCGACCTCAAGGACGGCCACTTTCTCGAGCTCGACCAGCTTCTTGGGTTCCGCTGTCTCAGCCATAGTTGCCGCGGAGCTTAGATAAAGCGGATTGAGGCACTCTTGTGTGCGTGTGTGATGAGTTTGCGAAGAAGTTGATGCTTTGTGCTTGAGTGTACAAAACGTAGTGCGTTCGTGGGAGTATATATTAGGGTTTAAGGGTATGTTTGGTTGGAATTACGGGCACGCAAAGGCAAATTGGATTTGAATAAAGTGGCTTAATTTGTTGAGCAGCCAAAAATTAGTGCCTCTCTCTCTCTCTCTCTCTTTCACTGAGTTGGAATCGTTGACTCGGGGTTAACTCAATCCAACTCAGGCACGTAGTAATTATACATTTCATTTTCATGAGTGGGATGTGAAGGAAGAAATGGGGACTTGTTTTCTTTTGTTTTTGTTATATTTTCTTAATTGTAGGTAGCTCTCTAGCTGGGGAGCTTATTGTTTAAGCAGCAGTCTTGTTCGATTTGAGTTGGACATTGTCGTTGACATTGAAAGGTATTGAAGAGCTGGTTTTCTGTGATCTTGATTCTTGACAAAATTGCTATAATTTGTGGAAGTAATAAAGTATATCCCTACATATATCCATGTTTCTATGGAACTGGAAGAAAGTGTTTTGAGCCCTTTAATTTTTAGGGTTAATATTAAGAAAAATCCCAAATTGGTACACTTGTAATAAATTTATCAAAAACTAATTTTTTTACCACCAAAAACCCTAAACTGGTACACCTGTGATAAATTTACCATCCGTAAGTTACCGTTAAATTTTACAATCAAATTGTTATATTGGATGACACGTAATAGTTGACAAGTGTACCAATACCCTCCGTTTGTTACGAATATATCAGTTTGTGGTTTTTTATGATATTAATCCAATTTAACGAAAACTAACGAAGGGTAAATTTTTCACAAATATATCAGTATGGGGTTTTTTGTGATCAAAAAATAAGTTTGAGATAAATTTGTCACAGGTGTACCAGTGTGAGGGTTTTTGATGGTCAAAAAATTAGTTTAGGGCAAATTTATCATAGGTGTACCAATTTGAGATTTTTCGTGGTATTAATCATAATTTTTAAAATATGGGTTTAAGTCAATATAATAGCTTTTTTCCTACTTCTAAGATAAGGGGCTCAATCTAGGTAAATCTATTTTCTTCCGGTGGACGTATGATACCATCATGATTATCTTATAACATCAAGTATAAGTAATTTCAAATAACTACTTTTGTAATATGCTTGCATTACATCTTTTAATTTTTTTGGCTAGAGCTTGCATTTTACTGGTTCATTAGGAGTAGGGAAGATTTTAAATAAGGGCTTGAAGTGTCATCTTTTTTTCAAATAAGGGCATGAAGTAGACATGGTCTCAAAGAAGGGCTTGAAGTGGCCAAATCGTCTTAAATAAGGACCTTTGGCCGGCCGGTGAATATTCCGTCGTCAAAGAAGGGGTACTTTAGTAAAAAGAATATATAATTTTATTTTTTTTACTTTATATTTCTTTTTCCTTTCCTTTTTCTTTTTTCTTTTTCCTTTTTCCTTTTTTCTTCTTCCCTCCCCAGTCATTGCTGTTCCTGGCCAATGACCTCCGCCAGCCTTAGGCGAGGGCGAGGGTTACCTCACCTGGGCTAGGCGGGCGAGGGTGATCCTCGCCTAAGACCGGCGACCTCCGCCGGCCCCGGGATGGTCGTCGGAGGGAAAAGAGAAAAAAAAAAGAAAGAAAAGGAAATGAAAAGGAAAAGGAAAAGGAAAAGAAAAAAACAGAAAAAAGAATGAAAAAAGGAAAAAAAAATCAAAAAAGGTAAAAGACAAAAATACCCTTCGGCCGGTGAGGTCATATCCTTATTTGAGACTGATATGGTCACTTTATGTCCTTATTTGAGATAATGTCCACTTAAGGCCCTTATTTGAAATCATGTCCACTTCAGGCCCTTATTTAGAATTTTCCCAAGATACAGAGTTATTCATTATTGACAAAAGCTATACATGTTACAAATTATGATTGCCCAATTGAAATTGTTGTGTACAAGCATAAAGATGCAAAACAAAGTTAAAGATTTTGTTGAAGAGTATGCACTGGTTAAGTAATCAAATAAAAAAATTACAGTGTCAAACAAATCGATTGTCCTTGTGATAAGTACAACAATATTCTTAAAATTGAATACTTTTTCGTCAAACACGTTTAAGAAGTACCATGGTCACTAGTTAACAAGACCTTAAATCAGCACACATATGATTTGAATCTGTACAAATGGTGTGTTTAATACAATAACTTAGTCACAATAATTAAATATGTAGGAAGACATAACCTTTCTCAAGATTCAAATGTGAACGTGCTTTCGTTTTTTTTTTTTTTGGGTAAAATAAGAATTTGATTGGCTTGATCCAGCCGGAAAAATGAGTCTAAAAGAGTCTACGTTTCAGTATGTCCATATGCCCTTTTCCTTTGGAATTGGAGCAATCCTTCAACGGTTGTTAACCATACGCACGAGAGGTTTGAGCATCAGAAAATGCTGTCAGTCTTGAAAATAAAATAAAGTATCGTATATTTGCATCGAGAAGTTATTAGCCATTCAAAGAACAAAGAATGAATTGTTTGGTATGTCGACACACCAATTGCCTTAAGAATATATGCTTAAGAAAAAGACAGTGGATCTTGTTGTTTGAGTCACGAAATTGATTCCATGAAGTAAACAGCTCGCGATCCAAATGGATCAAGAATTCTACGAAACCCTAACACACATGGAGGGTTAAGAGCCACAAGGATTATCTATGTGCGCAAAACCTGCATCAATGGCATGAGGTTTCTTGTCAACAAACTCTAAGAGACCTTAGTGACCATTTGAGTAAATGACTTAATTTAGGGTTTTAAATAAATATATTGGTGTAATACATGTCTTACGTCCGGTTTAGGCCCACGATTCGATTTGATTCTCTACTCCACCGGATGTATACCATATGTGTTTGAATGTGATTGCACGTTCCAATCGCAACTCCTCTCGCTCACAATAAACTTGGATGTCGTGCTTGTTATCCTCTGGGTGAAACCTTATCCGATGCACACGGACAATAGATGCATCCGTGGGGAGTCGAGCTGAGAGGGATTTCGTACTTGATCCTAGCATGACCAGGGGATTTCGTGGCTTTCAAGTTTATACTTGTTTGAGATAGACTTCTTTATTTTAGAAGTTTTAGAAGTAAATAGTTAACCGCGGAGTGCAGTGACCTAGTGGTAAGTGAGCCACATCGTTTTTCACGAGGTTTTGAGTTTGAATTGAGTTGTGAGGTGATTTTTTGATTAGTTTGCTTTAGGAATTTACCACTTCATGTAAAGAGAATTCTTGATTTCTCGCTTGTCGATGAGGCTACTGTAATATGCTCTACCTGAGAATCTTCATATTTTGAGCGGATACAACAATTATAACTCTTACTCATTATCCGTGATGGGTTTGAGAACCTACAATACCCAAAATAAATAACTATAGTCATCACCCCTTTTCCACCATTAAGTACAGTATAGCACATATTCTCTCTTTCTTTTTGGGCGTTCTAAAATTTTCTACCAAGTGAAAAACATAATAAACACCACACAAAAACCAGCCGGCACGCATATCCAGCTTGTTTTCTGATCTCCAGGGTACCAATTTCTATGGGCATGAAAGATTAAAAAAATGATGATGAGATGTCTGAACTTATCCTAGGATTGTTCTTGTAGTTCAGCCAACTTCAATGACTGGACAATTCCATTGCACACATGTCAATGAGGTGGCCAAACTTTTTGTGGACGATACCAAGACCTACCACTCCACTATTCTGTAGTGGGTAGATGAGCCCTTTTTTGAGGGAGGAATCATCCGATTCTGCCGAGTAATTTCTTGCCCATTTTTGACTTATTTCATCAACCCTTTTTCCAATGTTGAATGTACAAGAAATCACATACCCCTGTTGTCTATTGGCCGATGAAGGTTGGCTCAGAAATTTTAGGACATTAACACGTCATGCTAGAGAATAGCTCCCGGAGCTTATCCATTAGAGGCTAAGAGTCAAGTCCACACTATTTACAACAAAGTATTTTCTTTCTTTTCTTAAATTAGGTCTAATTTACAAGAGTCCCCATGTGCCGAACCCAGCGAAAGGGTAACACCCGAGGGGCGCGGCGGTCATTTTGGAGAAGCTCGAACCTGGGAAGCAAGTGGAGGAAAGTTTAATCGGTGTACAGATTTTCTTGGTGGGCTTGAAATCAAAATGATTGCTGAGCAAGCAAGGTTTTTTAAATCAGATTATAATAATTGAAATGTATTAAGAATAGTGTTAGTTTATTGCCATTCGTTCTATCTTGGCTCAATATCCACACATATATTCCTAATCGCTTGTTCAAGAAGGCAATGAAAAGAAAAGAGAAAATGATCTTGAGCAAATCATACCTCTCTTCTGTCATGGTGGTTGGTGCTGATTTGTTGATCAGTCCACGTATGCTCAGGGAAATGATGAGATCATACATATGCAAAAAAGGTCTGATTAAGCAAGGAAAAGGAAAAGTTTGGAAATCCACCCCGAAATGATAAATTTGATGTGTTCAATTTTACCGGGATAATTGTCCAAATAGCCTTAAATTTATCATACGGAAGCTAATTCAGTCCTAAATCTTTTAATTGTGCTAATTTAGTTCTAAAGTTTTCAATTATGTCAATTCAATCCTAAATTTTTTGACAATTTACCAATTTAGTCCTAAATTTTTAGGATTTTAGGACTAAACTATTTGAAAATTTGCCAATTTAGTCATCTCTTATGTCATGGTGGCTGGTGTTGATTTGTTGATCAGTCCACATATGCTCAGGGAAATGATGAGATCATACAAATGGAAAAAGGTCTGATTAAGCAAGGAAAAGGAAAAGTTTGGAAATCCACCCCAAAATAATAAAGGTGATGCATTCAATTTTACCCTTTTCTTTTTTTGTTGAAAAGAAACTTCTTCATTCATCAACGCCAACTAGCTAAACAGTCTAAATGAGTTTCCGAGCGCAAAATATTCCAGAGGAACCGATTGGGGGGAAGAAAATTTTTTCGATGGACTTTGGCAACCAAATCTGCAAGATGGTCAGCCTCACGAGAACAGTGGACGACTCGCAATTGTTTTTAG